CAAGTGCCCCCAATAGCATGTCTCTTTCTATGGGGCATTCGAGTAGGCTCGTTCCCAAGTCCATTCACACACACAGCGCAGCTTGGCCCCCTCATTGGCTTGATGGATACCAGCGGGATCCAATGGCTCCTGCTGCTGTGTGAGCCAATGAGGTGAGAAAGTCCTGGGACAGCTGAGGCTCCCATGCACATCATTGGATTGAGGTGGGGATCAGGTGAGTCTTAGGATAGTTGTAGGGGGAATCCATGAAGGTAAAAAAAACTTCTGCCTTTAGAACCACTTTAACCACTTCCCAACCGCGCTATAGGCGAAAGACAGCTACAGCGCAGTTGTCTAGTTCTAGGAGGGCGTCCATGGACGTCCTCTCAGAACACGCCCCCTGCGCGCCCCCCCAGCACCTGGTGCTGTTGTTGATTAATGCGTCCTACATGATCAGCCAATGACACAGCAAATCACAATGTAAATACAGTTGCTGGTTATCGTCGCCTCCACTTTCCTCACACTGTCACAGAGTGATACATATATATACAGGGGCGGACTGACAACTCATGGGGCCCCCGGGCAATAGGGGATCATGGGGTCCCTGTGTCCTTGCCCACACTCAAAGCACACAAAAAAAGCCTATAAAAAAGGTACCAGGGGCATTTCATGGGGCCCCTAACTGACCCTGGGCCCTCGGACAGTGCCCTAGTGCTTGAATGGTCAGTCCGCCCCTGTATATATATATATTTATTGAAATATATTGAATATGGCCAAAATTGTAGCATTTAAAATATACCGTATTTTTCGCACCATAAGACGCACTTTTTTCCCCCCAAAAAAGGCACAGGAAGTGGTGCTTTTTGTGAATGGTAAGGCGGCACCTGGGACACATGACATATCCCAGAAGCCGCCGGACCAATCACAAAGCGCAAGTGCTTCTCGCTCATGCGCACTGGGCACCCGGCTGTCATGCCGAGCGCCATTACAGAAGCCGGGAAGACAGCGCGCGGCTGGATAGAGGAACAGGTAAGATGAAAGAACAACTCCGCGGAAGTGGGAGCAGGTATCTGTCAAATTCAGGTACCCGCTCCCCCCCCTCCCCAAAGGTCAGCAGTCATCCGCTGTGCTGTCCGCAGTCTCTGGTCATCCCTGTACTATGTCCGCAGTCTCTGGTCATCCCCTGTACTGTGTCCGCAGTCTCTGGTCATCTCCTGTACTGTGTCCGCAGTCTCTGGTCATCCCTGTACTATGTCCGCAGTCTCTGGTCATCCCTGTACTGTCCGCAGTCTCTGGTCATCCCTGTACTATGTCTGCAGTCTCTGGTCATCCCTGTACTATGTCCGCAGTCTCTGGTCATCCCCTGTACTGTGTCCGCAGTCTCTGGTCATCCCTGTACTGTGTCCGCAGTCTCTGGTCATCCCTGTACTGTGTCCGCAGTCTCTGGTCATCTCCTGTACTGTGTCCGCAGTCTCTGGTCATCTCCTGTACTGTGTCCGCAGTCTCTGGTCATCTCCTGTACTGTGTCCGCAGTCTCTGGTCATCTCCTGTACTGTGTCCGCAGTCTCTGGTCATCTCCTGTACTGTGTCCGCAGTCTCTGGTCATCTCCTGTACTGTGTCCGCAGTCTCTGGTCATCTCCTGTACTGTGTCCGCAGTCTCTGGTCATCTCCTGTACTGTGGCCGCAGTCTCTGGTCATCTCCTGCACTGTGTCCGCAGTCTCTGGTCATCTCCTGCACTGTGTCCGCAGTCTCTTGTCATCCCCTGAACTGTGTCCGCAGTCTCTGGTCATCTCCTGTACTGTGTCCGCAGTCTCTGGTCATCTCCTGTACTGTGTCCGCAGTCTCTGGTCATCTCCTGTACTGTGTCCGCAGTCTCTGGTCATCTCCTGTACTATGTCCGCAGTCTCTGGTCATTCCCTGTACTGTGTCCGCAGTCTCTGGTCATCTCCTGTACTGTGTCCGCAGTCTCTGGTCATCTCCTGTACTGTGTCCGCAGTCTCTGGTCATCTCCTGTACTATGTCCGCAGTCTCTGGTCATCTCCTGTACTATGTCCGCAGTCTCTGGTCATCTCCTGTACTGTGTCTGCAGTCCATTAGTTCAGAATTTTTTTTTCCTGTTTTCTGCCTCTAAAACCTAGGTGCGTCTTATGGTCAGGTGTGTCTTATGGAGCGAAAAATACGGTATGTCAATATACAGTATTTGGGAAGAATATTTTTAAATATATTTCAAATATATTTTTTCTTCCATGTGGGTTAGCAGGGGTGTCAAACTGGCGGGCCTCCAGCTGATGCGAAACTACAAGTCCCATCATGCCTCTGCCTTTGGGAGTCGTGCTTGTAACTGTCAATCTTGCAATGCCTCATGGGACTTGTAGTTTGGCAACAGCTGGAGGGAGGGGCCGCCAGTTTGACACCCGTGCCTTAGGGAAACCTGACCAGAAAAGCAGATCACTACTCCGCTGAGTACAGTGGAGCCAAAAACTAAACTTTTGGCAGGGCGCTCTATCTCTAAGGGCTCATTCAGGGGCGGACTGACAACTCATGGGGCCCCCGGGCAATAGGGGATCATGGGGCCCCTGTGTGTTTGCCCAAACTCAAAAAAGCCTATGAAAAAGGTACCAGGGGCATCTCATGAGGCCCCCTACTGACCCTGAGGCCTTGGGCAGTGCCCGAGTTTCCAAATGGTCAGTCCGCCCCTGGGCTCATTTAAACTTTGACCGTCCATTAAGGCACCTAATGCATTAAGGCGTGTTTACACCGTGTTTGTATCGCGTTAGGCACCCACTCGGTGTTGGTTTTCTATCGTATGGATTTTTTTTGTTATCATCTAGTAATGCTTACTAAACCCATAGGACCTATATGGGCGTTTCGCACCATGGAAGCGTCTGGGGAGCGGTAAAGCCTGGCAAACAGGCAAACTTTTTGTTCCCGAGTTTAGATACACGAAAGACGTATTACCAGCCTGCATGCAAATTACAGAATGGCTGACAGATAGGATTGTCCAATCATTATGACTGATGAGCCATCTGCAGGAAGATTTACCCTTCCAGTCTGAGACAATCTCCCGACTCGCTCTCTAATCAATTGGGGTCATCAGTCTTTGACCTGAGCGGTGTCTGGAATGTCTCACTGGAAGGATATTCATCTAGAGGCCTCGGCCCTGGAAAGTACCAATTTTATAGATATACAGTGCTCAGCATAACTGAGCACACACCAACAGATTTGTCAGAAAACCTTTACTTTCCTTTCAGAATCAACATTTTCTATAGGACACTATACTACAAAATATTCCCACAAATTAATAATTGTGGTAATTTGCACACACAAAAAATGTATTTTTCCTAACAATTTCATTCCAGACCATGCTGCAAAAATGAACACGCCCCAATGAAAGTCTTAGGAGCAAAGCTAAATTTTAGACAACAAAATCCTAATTGACAAGAATTCAGCTACAGGGGAGTCTAATTATTCATTAAACAGGTGTCCAGCAGACGGTTGATTATAAAAGGGCCTTACTTAACAAAGAAAACCCCTCCCATTTCATGCTGTCAGCAATGGCACCACATGGCAGAGGAATGTCAAAAGGTCTGAGAAAGAAAATAATTTCTATACATAAGAAAGGTGAAGGCTACAAGAAGATCAGCAAAGCTTTACTTATCAGTTAGAATACTGTAGGAAAAGTGATACAAAAATTCAACAAAGATGGAACTGCAACCATCTCACAGAGACCTCCAGGCCGTCTGTGGAAGTTAACACTTCAATAGGAACTTGTTCTGATGGGAAGGGTTGAAGAAAATCGCCATGCAAGTTCACTGCAGTTATTATTATTATTATACAGTATTTATAAAGCGCCAATGGTTCACTCAGCGCTGTACATTACAAAGGGGGACAGAACATGTGACAGAACAATACCAATACAATGCAAAACATGAGGGGATCGAGGGCCCTGCTCTTTCGAGCTTACAATCTAGGAGATATCTAAAGAAGTAGAAAGCCAAGCTGGGGTGATTGTTTTCCCGTGACACAATACGGCATATACTATAGTGGAATGGTATGCATGGCGTCAACAAAAGAAGCCTCTCTTAAAGCCCATGCAGAAAAAAGCCCACCTAGAATTTGCCAGGGTCCATGCTGAAAAAGAAGAAGACTACTCTGGACTCTGGAGTGCTGAGACCAAGATAAATGTTTTGGAACTGATGGCTTCAAAACTGTATGGCATCGCAAAGGTGAGGAGTACAAAGAAAAATGCATGGTGCCTACTGTGAAACATAGTGGTGGCAGTGTCCTTTTGTGGGCTGCATGCGTGCTGCTGGTGTTGGTGAGCTGCATTTCAGTGATGGTATCATGAATTCACAGATGTACTGCTCTATATTGAAAGAGAAGATGCTACCTTCACTCCGTGCCCTCGGTTGTCGTGCACTTTTCCAACATGACAATGATCCAAAACACACATTTAAGGCCACTGTTGCATTTCTGAAGAAGAACCGGGTGACAGTGATTCCGTGGCCAAATATGTCTCCTGATCTGAACCCAATGCAACACCTATGAGGAATTCTGAAGAGACAAGCTGAGCATCACTCGCCATCCAGCATCCCGGCTCTAAAGAGATCTTTCTTGAAAAATGGAAAAGGATCGATGTTGCAATATGTCTCCACCTTGTTCATTCCAAGACTTGGTGCCGTCCTTACAAATCATGGAGGTCACAGAATACTAGATGGAGGAGTTTTTGTTGTGGGGGGATTAATTTTTCCATCAATTGATTTGAGTAAAACTGAAGATTTTGTAAAATAAGTTACATTATTAACCTTACCTTCTTGTCACGAGCGACACAAATATTCTATAAAACTCAGTTTTATAAAAATGTTGGAAATTGTTCTTGTGTTCATTGAGATATTAAGATCTTATTTGGAGGTGTACTCATGTATGCTGAGCATTGTATATAGAGGGGTTCAAGGATTAGAACCTTTGTAGGTTTATGTGATCAAGATACGACCGCATACGTCTACCACTATCATACTGGGGCACAGGGGTGGACTGACCATTTGGAAACTTGGGCACTGCCCAAGGGCCCGGGGTCAGTAGGGGGCCCCATGAGATGCCCCTGGTACCTTTTTCATAGGCTTTTTTGAGTTTGGGCAAGGACACAGGGGCCCCATGATCTCCTATTGCCGGGGGGGGGGGCCCCATGAGTTGTCAGTTCGCCCCTGCTGGGGCACATTTTTAATTTTTTGCAGACCTATTAAAATCTGCATCTATTTTCTAGAAAATGACTTTAACCCCCCTGGTGGTATTTCCGAGTGTAGCTTGGGGTAAAGTTTCAGCACCGCAAGCGGTAACCCCCCCGAGCTACACTCAGGAATACACTGCAGCGTTGCTCCGGGATCCCTTTTACCTTGTCCTGCGCTCCCGTGATGTCCCTCCTGCAGTGTCCCCAGCAATGTCCTCCGGCTGATGCCGGCATCTGTCATCTGGGTTCCGTCCCCTGCGAGCGTCGGGACGTACGGGGGACCGAACGGCGGGAAATTTAAAAATTTTAAAATGTGACATTCACTAAATACACTAAAATCACATAGTATTCCATTCCTGTATCAAACCATTTCACATACATTTTGTCCCGAGTGCTTTGTCCGGCGCCCTGCCTGCATTTTTACTGTTCTTTCTGCCTGGAAACTGAGAAACGTCCATGGCGTCCAAAAAGCGTCCCTTTAGGTCAGACGTGGTTTTAGACCGGCTAGAGAACAGCGATAGTAAATCAGAACCACTTGCAGAATTGAGTGATGATGATTCGTGGGGGAAATTCCTCATCAGACACTGAAAACGATTCTGCGACTGAGCTCAGCGATGTGCGAACTTGGCGCTATATTTCACATTTCATTGTTTTTGGTTTGATTATATTATTGAATTAAATGTATTATTATTATATTATTATTTTTATAATTTATTATAATATAATTTATGATTTTGTGTTTCAATTTTTAACATACCCGGGATGTTTACTAGACTCTTGTTCGGACAGATTTCAGTGAGTTATTCCTAAGAATTACAGGCCTACAATATAAAAAATACATATTTCCATGCAAAAAAAATGTACCGCTTTGAGCACAGAAATACGGACATCATCAGACCGCTAGGGAGGCTGCGTCCCTAAAGTTGATATATTTTTGAAAGCAGAGATCCTGGAAAATATATTGGTGGCAGGTAGTGTTTTTTGGGTTGAACAATATTCATGCATGTATTTATCAAACACATATTTTTAGGAAAAAATACACTAAAATTAACTTTGGTACACAAAAACACAATAATATATCTTTTTTTTTTAAATATAACAGTAAGATATAGGCTTGCTTCGAATAAATAGATATCAAACATGAAAAGCCTAAAAATGGCATGTGCCTGTGAAATGGCAAAAAACGTCAGTATCCAAAATTGTCCATCGACAATGCTTTACAAACTTTACAGGTTTTCAGTTCCGCTTAGCCTGGGATTACATACAGTCAGGTCCATAAATATTGGGACATCAACACAATTCTAACATTTTTGGCTCTATACACCACCAGAATGGATTTGACATGAAACGAACAAGGTGTGCTTTAACTACAGACTGTCAGCTTTACATCCAAATCAGGTGAACGGTGTAGGAATTACAACACCCACTTGTTAAGGGACCAAAAGTAATGGGACAGAATAATAATCATAAATCAAACTTTCACTTTTTAATACTTGGTTGCAGATCCTTTGCAGTCAATTACAGCCTGAAGTCTGGAACGCATAGACATCACCAGACGCTGGGTTTCATCCCTGGTGATGCTCTGCCAGGCCTCTACTGCAACTGTCTTCAGTTCCTGCTTGTTCTTGGGGCATTTTCCCTTCCACTTCTTTCCCTTAAAAAACTCTTTGGTTGCTTTTGCAGTCTGCTTTGGGTCATTGTCCATCTGCACTGTGAAGCGTCCAATGAGTTGTGAAGCATTTGGCTGAATATGAGCAGATAATATTCCCGAAACACTTCACAATTCATCCTGCTGCTTCTGTCAGCAGTCACATCATCAATAAATACAAGAGAAGCAGTTCCATTGGCAGCCATACATGCCCACGCCATGACACTACCACCACCATGCTTCACTGATGAGGTGGTATGCTTAGGATCATGAGCAGTTCCTTTCCTTCTCCATACTCTTCTCTTCCCATCACTCTGGTACAAGTTGATCTCGGTCTCATCTGTCCATAGGATGTTGTTCCAGAACTGTGAAGGCTTTTTTAGATGTCGTTTGGCAAACTCTAATCTGGCCTTCCTGTTTTTGAGGCTCACCAATGGTTTCCATCTTGTGGTGAACCCTCTGTATTCACTCTGGTGAAGTCTTCTCTTGATTGGTGACTTTGACACACATACACCTACCTCCTGGAGAGTGTTCTTGATCTGGCCAACTGTTGTGAAGGGTGTTTTCTTCACCAGGGAAAGAACTCTTCGGTCATCCACCACAGTTGTTTTCCGTGGTCTTCCGGGACTTTTGGTGTCGCTGAGCTCACCGGTGCGTTCCTTCTTTTTAAGAATGTTCCAAACAGTTGTTTTGGCCACGCCTAATGTTTTTGCTATCTCTCTGATGGGTTTGTTTTGTTTTTTCAGCCTAATGATGGCTTCACTGATAGTGACAGCTCTTTGGATCTCATCTTGAGAGTTGACCGCAACAGATTCCAAATGCAAATAGCACACTTGAAATGAACTCTGGACCTTTTAGCTGCTCATTGTAGTTGGGATAATGAGGGAATAACACACACCTGGCCATGGAACAGCTGAGAAGCCAATTGTCCCATTATTTTGGTCCCTTAACAAGTGAGTGGCACATATGCAAACTGTTGTAATTCCTACACCGTTCACCTGATTTGGATGTAAATACCCTCAAATTAAAGCTGACAGTCTGCAGTTAAAGCACATCTTGTTTGTTTCATTTCAAATCCATTGTGGTGGTGTATAGAGCCAAAAATGTTAGAATTGTGTTGCTGTCCCAATATTTATGGACCTGACTGTATGTGCGAATCGGTTCTCACAGCCCTCTCCAGTTAGCCTTTGTTCAGCAGTTAAGCTGATGCAAATTGTCAAAGTGTATGACAATGGAAATTGCACCTGAACCAGGCTCAAAATTGTACTGGACTCTGTTTGAAAATGCGCTGCGGCCAGCTCACACATATGTGAATCGGCTCCATTATAAAGGCTGCAGGATCACATGTAATGCCAATCATATGATGTTCAAAAAGCATTCAAATCGTATATATGTGAACTGGGGCTTAGAGTTTTCTGAGAGTCCAAATTGATTCAAAAGTCCACCTTACTAAACGTTCTGTATCTGCCCCCGCTCTGCCAATCCCTCCATTGGCCTCCACTCAGTGTCCTCCACCCCTCTCTGCCAATCCCTCCATTGGCCTCCACTCAGTGTCCTCCACCCCTCTCTGCCAATCCCTCCACTGGCCTCCACTCAGTGTCCTCCACCCCTCTCTGCCAATCCCTCCACTGGCCTCCACTCAGTGTCCTCCACCCTCTCTGCCAATCCCTCCACTGGCCTCCACTCAGTGTCCTCCACCCTCTCTGCCAATCCCTCCACTGGCCTCCACTCAGTGTCCTCCACCTCTCTCTGCCAATCCCTCCACTGGCCTCCACTCAGTGTCCTCCACCCCTCTCTGCCAATCCCTCCATTGGCCTCCACTCAGTGTCCTCCACCCCTCTCTGCCAATCCCTCCACTGGCTTCCACTCAGTGTCCTCCAACCCTCTCTGCCAATCCCTCCACTGGCCTCCACTCAGTGTCCTCCACCCCTCTCTGCCAATCCCTCCACTGGCCTCCACTCAGTGTCCTCCACCCTCTCTGCCAATCCCTCCACTGGCCTCCACTCAGTGTCCTCCACCTCTCTCTGCCAATCCCTCCACTGGCCTCCACTCAGTGTCCTCCACCCCTCTCTGCCAATCCCTCCACTGGCTCCACTCAGTGTCCTCCACCCCTCTCTGCCAATCCCTCCACTGGCTTCCACTCAGTGTCCTCCACCCCTCTCTGCCAATCCCTCCACTGGCTTCCACTCAGTGTCCTCCACCCCTCTCTGCCAATCCCTCTACTGGCTTCCCATTGCCCAACAGATAAAATTCAAAAGATTAACAATAACATATAAAACCATTTATAACTCTGCCCCAAATGACATCACCAATCTTGTCTCCAAATATCACCAAAACCGTCCTCTCTGCTCCTCGCACGACCTCCTGCACTCTAGCTCCCTAGTCTCCTCCTCCAATGCTGGTCTCCAGGACTTCTCCAGAGCTTCCCCCATCCTCTGGAACTCTCTACCCCAATTTATCAGACTATCGCCTACTTGCTCACTTTTAGGCGATCTCTGAAAACCGATCTCTTCAGGGAAGCCTATCCTGCCCTCAGCTAATAATGGAATCTTCTACTCTTCCAACCAGTCCATCCCCCACAGTTATTACTTTTTGTATCACTAGCCCCTCCCTCTTAGATTGTAAGCTCCCAGGATCAGGGCCCTCCTAACCCTCTTATAATGAACTGTATTGTTGCTGTATTGTCTCCCGTTATATTGTAAAGGGCTGAGCAAACTGTCGGCGCCATAAATCCTGTAAAATAATATAACATTAATAAGTTCATAGTATTATCACAAAAGCCAACTGATTTCAAGGCCAACCCCCACCTTTTTGTTCATCAGAGCTACAGAAAAAAAATCTGAGTTTGAAATTAGGTATTATTATTATTATTATAATACAGGATTTATATAGCGCCAACAGTTTGCTAGGAAGGTATAAAAGTTTATATAAATTTAAAAATGAAAATGATACTAGGTTTAAAAGGTTGGTTTAAATACAGTAAAAACTCATATTTATAAAATGATAGAATCAATTAAATATAGCAAAAATAAATATGTCACGTATAGAAATAAACTACAATAAAATAAATATAGTAAGAATTAAAAAAAAATTGACTTTTTAAATACATACACTTCCATCATTGTAACTTTGTAACAAGATAACTTTCTCTTCATTCCATTGAAGGAATATGTTTTACAACCCCAGCATCTCTTGGATTTTTTTTTTTGATTGCTGTCTGTGTGTCACCCATCTCTATTTGTCATTGTTACTGAGACAGAAGGAGTTGAGAATATCAAAGATTGGGGAGATTTCCCTTTCTTGCTACAATGATCACATTGTCACCAGGACAGCAAAATGACCAATGGGGGCATGCGCAGCAATAGAAAACGCTGATATAACAAGCCAAAGGCTAACACAGTCCACCAGGCTTCACCAATAGACAACTGATCACTTTTGAGTGGACCCTTTTAGTGAAGTCCCTCAGGATGTTTAGAAGGTCCACAAGTGGTTAAACACCAAGGACCAAGTTGGATAAGAAGATATGGTTTAGTTATGGGAGGTCCAAGGCTCTCTTGCCTGTTCCATGCTAGATGGAAAGAAAGGTCAGTTGTTATGGTTGCTAAAAGCAATGTGTGTATGGAAGCCCTAATCCCTGGGGTTCAGGAGAGCTTTGGTGGTTCATTATGTTTACCATTGGCTTCTATAATGTAAACAGTTTAATTAGTCTCAATGTTCCGTGAAAAAGCACAAACATGAGCCAAACAAAATGAGGCTTAATATTGAATCAGCTTTATGCGAAAGTTAAAGCGGAAAATTTAGCACAGAAATAGATGCGGGGGTAAACTTGGATGGCCAGGGCTTCTGGGTTTCCTCCTGGCATTGAGTATAATGGTCTACGTGCTATGTAACATCCTCGCTGGCAGCCTGGTATTCTGGGAACACTTTGCTCAAGCCTTAATACTAAAAAAAAAATCTGAAAAGAAAATCCATTGTGGGTTCGGTATTGCAGCAAACATTGCATACCTGGCTGATGCAAGTTGGAAGGAGGTTGGATTTGGAAGGCACACCTGGTTAGTTTAAAATATGTGTGCAGCCAGATTTAAAGTGACTTTGTAAGAACTTGAGAAAATGTGGCCCCTGAAAATGAAAAAAATGGGGCCCCTGTAAAATGGTGTGTTTAACCACTTCATGCCTACCTTTTTACCCCTTATGGACCAGAGCAATTGTTACATTTCCATTATGGGCCTGTGTAAAATTTGTAACCACTTAGAATAACAACGTAATACATACATTGTTTTGGGGACAAACTAGGTTTTCGTTTGGTGATTTTGTCTTTTAAAATTATTTTACAGATGCATTGACCTATCATAAACTGCACCATATATTGTATCCATCTGTAGGTAGAAAAACCTTTATGGGTCACCCAAGGGCGGACTGACCATTTGGAAACTCGGGCACTGCCCGAGGGCCTGGGGTCAGGAGGGGGCCCCATGAGATGCCCCTGGTACCTTTTTCATAGGCTTTTTTGAGTTTGGGCAAGGACACAGGGGCCCCATGATCCCCTATTGCCCAGGGGCCCCATGAGTTGTCAGTCCGCCCCTGGGGTCACCCAACTATACCTAGAAAAACCCCTCTATGGGCGATCCATCTATAGCCAGAAAACCCTTTATGGGTCATCCATCTAGAGGTAGAAATCCTTTAAGGATCATCCATCTATAGGTACAGTAGAAACCCTTGATGTATCATCTATCTATAGTTAGAAACACTTTATTTATTATCCATCTAAAGGTAGAAGACCCTTTATAGTTCATTCAACTATAGATAAAAACCCTTATAAGATAGAAATATTTTAACAATCATCCATCTATAGGTACAGTAGAGACCCTTTATGGATCATCCATCTATATGTAGAAACCTTTTATGGATCATCCATCTATATGTAGAAACCTTTTATGGATCATCCATCTATATGTAGAAACCTTTTATGGATCATCCATCTATAGGTAGAAACCCTCAATAGGTAGAAATCCTTTAAGGATCATCCATCTATGGATACAGTAAAAACCCTTTATGGGTCATCGATCTATAGTTAGAAACACTTTATTATCCATCTAAAGATAGAAGATCCTTTATAGATCATCCATCTACAAGTAGAAACCCTTAATAGGTAGAAATCATTTAACGATCATTCATCTATAGGTACAGTAGAGATCCTTTATGGATCATCCATCTATAAGTAAGAACCATTTATGATTCAACCATCTATAGGTAGAAACCCTTTATGGATCATCCATATATAGGTAGAAAAACCCTTTATAGGGCATCCATCTCTGGGTAGATATTGTTTATAAGTCTAGAGGTAGAAAACCCTTTATAGGTTATCCACCTATAGGTAGAAACCCTTTATGGATCAACCATATATAGGTAGAAAAACCCTTTATAGGTAGAAATCCTTTCAGGATCATCCATCTATGGGTACAGTAAAAACCCTTTATGGGTCATCGATCTCTAGTTAGAAACACTTTATTATCCATCTATAGGTAGAAACCCTTTATGGATCACCCATATATAGGTAGAAAAAACCCTTTATAGGGCATCCATCTCTGGGTAGATACCGTTTATAAGTCATCCGTCTAGAGGTAGAAAACCCTTTATAGGTTATCCAACTATAGGTAGAAACCCTTAATAGGTAGAAATCTTTTAACGATCATTCATCTATAGGTACAGTAGAGACCCTTTATGGATCATAAATCTATAGTTAGAGACCCTTTATGATTCAACCATCTATAGGTAGAAAGCCTTTATGGATCATCCATATATAGGTAGAACCAGGGGCGGACTGACCATTTGGAAACTCGGGCACTGCCCGAGGGCCCGGGGTCAGTAGGGGACCCCATGAGATGCCCCTGGTACCTTTTTCATAGGCTTTTTTGAGTTTGGGCAAGGACACAGGGGCCCCATGATCCCCTATTGCCCGGGGGCCCCATGAGTTGTCAGTCCGCCCCTGGGTAGAACATCCCTTTGTAGGTAGAAATCCTTTAAGGATCATCCATCTATGGGTACAGTAAAAACCCCTTATGGGTCATCGATCTATAGTTAGAAACACTTTATTATCCATCAAAAGGTAGAAGATCCTTTATGGATCATCCATCTACAGGTAGAAACCTTAATAGGTAGAAATCATTTAATGATCATTCATCTATAGACACAGTAGAGACCCTTTCTGCCTTTCTGGATCATCCAATTATAGGTAAGAACCATTTATGATTCAACCATCTATAGGTAGAAAAATCCCTTTATGGATCATCCATCTATAGGTAGAAACCCTTTATGGATCATCCATCTATAGGTAAGAACCATTTATGATTCAACCATCTAAAGGTAGAAACCCTTTATGGATCATAAATCTATAGTTAGAAACCCTTTATGGATCATCCATGATTCAACCATCTATAGGTAGAAACCCTTTATGGATCATCCATCTATAGGTAGAAACCCTTAATAGGTAGAAATCTTTTAACAATCATTCATCTATAGATACAGTAGAGACCCTTTATGGATCATCCATATGTAGGTAGAAAAACCCTTCATCCATCTCTGGGTAGATATCCTTTATAAGTTATCTGTCTAGAGGTAGAAAACCCTTTATGGATCAACCATCTATAGGTAAGAACCATTTGTGATTCAACCATCTATAGGTAAGAACCAATTTGTGATTCAACCATTTATAGGTAGAAAACCCTTTATGGGTCATCCATCTATAGCTAGGAAATGTGTTAATGGGTCATCCAGTTATACGTATATAAAACCCTTTATGGGTCATCCATCTATTGATTAAAAACCCTTAATGGGTCACTGCAACTTTGTTGACAAAATGTTAACTGCTTCCTGTCCGCCCATAGCACATAAATGGTGGGAAAGGAACAGCGCTGATGCGGTTGACGTACCTGTACGCATCCACCGCTTGTGCACGTTCTCTGGAGGCGAGCAGTGGTGAGATATGTGCACTTGTCATGGGTGATGGAAGAGAGTCTAACCTGTATTTGACCAACTATATTAGATGATAGATTCGATCCATCAGCAATTGCAATAAATGTACACCGGCACATTTTCATTGGCAATTCTCTATCTGCGTAGTAAGAGAAAGGCTCAATCTGTATCGTAATCTGCTAATGAATGTGCAGAACGATGAAAGAGAGTAAACAGGATGAATAAGTAATCACATAATTAAGATAGCACTACACATGTGCCAAAAGGCAATGGGATCCAGTACAGCTGGCACCTCACCACTTAGCCGTGTTGTGGAATATTATGTGGAGACTAGCGTAGTTCGCAGTAAAAAGTACTGTATGGAGGTTTCCGAGCAGCTCAGGTCTCTGGAGAAATGTAGAAAAAGTCTTCAGGTTTTAAAGTTTCAGTTCACCCAAAGAGATATTTCTTTTCTAAATGGATTTTTGTAATGTTGGGTTCTTATATTGTGGTGAACCAAGATGCCAGTTTATACTGTATATTGATCTTTGTAACCCTCTCACACATAAAGTGGACCTGGTATCAGCTTGGACACCCTGAGGTCATCACAGAGGACAAGGGGGGGCTCTTTACATCTGGAGGAAAAGAAATGTAATCTCCAAACACGGAAAGGTATCTTCACAGTAAGAGCTGTGAGAATGTGGAATATACTCCCTCAGGAGTTGGTTGTGGCCAGCTCAGTGGATTGCTGTAGGAAAGTCCTGGATTCTTTCTTGGATACACAGAATATAACTGGATATAACATTTATAGGTAAAGTTGATCCAGGGAATATCCGATCGCCTCTCGGGGGATCAGGAAGGAATTTTTTCCCCTGCAGGAGCAAATTGGATCGTGCTTTGCTGGGCTTTTTTTTGCCTTCCTCTGGATCAACTGTGGGTGTAGGATTATAACCTTTTTTTTTTATGGTTGAACTGGATGGACGTTTGTCTTTTTTCAGCCAGACTAACTATGTAACTATGGACCAATGTATGCACATTCCATTCTCTGTGAAAGCAGAGAATCACTGCATAGTAACCATGGGGATTGGGGGGGGGGGGATATTGGTCATTTGGCATAGGTGCCATTCAGAGAATGCTTTGCATTTTCTCAATGAATACAAAAGTGTTCTCTGAGTGGACGAGGTGGGAACATTTGGGTGGTGGCATCATGATCTCCACCTTGTCCAATCGGAGAACGCTTTGCATTCAATTCAAATGTGCTGCAGCAAAGCAACCATTTGGCACAGAATCCAGCGATGACCACTAGTAGTGGTGGCTACTTTTTGCCACTTCCACAGGGATCGGCTAGGTATGGAATATGTATATTTACATTGGTCCAAGCTGGACCAGTGTAATAATCAGGGGCGGACTGACCATTTGGAAACTCTGGCACTGCCTGAGGGCCTGGGGTCAGTAAGGGGCCCCATGAGATGCCCCTGGTACCTTTTTCATATGCTTTTTTGAGTTTAGGCAAGGACACAGGGGCCCCATGATCCCCTATTGCCCGGGGGCCCCATGAGTTGTCAGTCCGCCCCTGGTAATAATGCAAATTATCAATGGCCATGCTCAGTAATGTGCCAGTGTAACACTTCCAGGTATTTGTTAACGCTCCCAGAGATCACAGTACTCCCCCCTGATAATACCTTCATTCGCATTTCTTTCCAGAAGGACAGAGCCATCTTTGTTCAAGCTTCATCCAAGGTCACCCTCTACTTCCCTGATTTAGATGCCAGCTCAATTTTCCTTTAAAGTCCATCTCCGGGGAAAGGAAAAAATCTCCCTTGCAGTGGGGCTGTCCCTGCACTGCAAGGATTACTTGCTCATTTAGGGTTGGGGCACCAGGAACAGCAGTTTTACTTACCCAGTCCTCTGCTCACTCAGCAGCCAGCGCTTCCCTCTACTCCCCTACGCTTTGGCGTTGGATGGTTCCTTGGTGTTGTCACACTCAATGCAAGGTTATTGACCAAGTACTGGACTTGATGATGTCAGAGGACCTGCAGGAGCAAAGAAGAGGCTGTGCTGACCAGTCTTACAGCCTGGAGGGAGCCTGCAGGAGCGGAAGGCTGGGTGATAGAACTTATTGTGCCCTCTAGACCTAAATGAGCATTTAAATCTTGCAGTGTGGAAGCAGCCCCACATCAAGGGAGTATTTTCTGCTCTCTGGAGTTCAGATATAAAGATGTTCTCCTACCTCCCTGAGTATAGCCAACCCAACCCAACCCAACTCAACTCAACCCAACCCAACCCAACTCAAGTAAGTCTGACACCTAATTTAGCCCCAGTTTCAGCAACCTCTACTGAGCTGGTTCTTCTGGAGCCTGACAGACTTTCTGCTGAAGAAGGTGTCTTCTTCCTGACATGGCCACCTTTATTATTTTGGAAAACCTTACCCATGGAGGTCTCCAGCGGTCCATTCATTCTCATAGGAATGGACGGAGCTGCGGCACACAGGAAGAAAAGGGTCCAATAGTGACAATTTTTAGACAAAAAGTCTATGCGGCTCCAGGCATAGAAGATAACTTGAACCAGGGGCCAAGGTAAGAGATAGTCTGTGTGGACTACACGCAAGGGGGTTGAGGGGAATTCTTTGAAGGACAATTGTACTAAAGGTACAACTGTCCATTAAAATATAAATTTCCTGGCCCAAAATGCTGCGACCTGGCAGAGTTTACGCCCTGCATATCAAAAAGGGAAATTATTGTAGGAGGGCAGCATAAAATAATGCCAAATCATCGTGAGATAAGTGACTACTGCCCACAAGATAACAACTTCCTGCACCTTGTCAGTATATCTCATCAGAGCGGATGCAGATGCAGATGTTGTGTAACATAAATCTTGCCTATGCTACAAAATTCATATAAGATGCTGGATAAACTGTTGTGAACTCTGGTGGAGACAATAATGGAAGTTTTTATTCCTGGCCAGGGGCGGACTGACAACTCATGGGGCCCCCGGGCAATAGGGGATTATGGGGCCCCTGTGTCCTTGCCCAAACTCAAAAAAGCCTATATGAAAAAGGTACCAGGGGCATCTCATGGGGCCCCCTACTGACCCCGGGCCCTCGGGCAGTGCCCGAGTTTCTAAATGGTCAGTCCGCCCCTGATCCTGGCACACTTGTTGTATCCAACCCTGACCAATCCAGGAGATTCATTGGAGAGCTACACCACATGTAGAGGTTTGCTGATGGCTTCTGGCAACAAATATTTCCATATTTGCTAGCAGACAAGGAGAGGATGTATCCCTTCTCTGAGGCTCGTGTTTTCGAGTGTTTTTTCAGGCGTTTTGTTGCATGTTTGTATCAGTGTTTTTGTGCAGTGTTTTTGAGCATTGGCGTTTTTTTTAATAGCCAATAGAGAAAATTATCATCTGTTTCATCATTTGTTGCTACAGTGCTCAGCATTCAGTGCCTTGAAGAAGTCTTCATACCCCTTGACATTTTCCACATGTTGTCATGTTGCAACCAAAAATGTCAATGTATTTATTGGGATTTGATGTGATAGACCAACACAAAGTGGCACATAATTGTGAAGTGGAAGGAAAATGAGAAATGGTTTTCAACATTCTTTACAAATAAATCTATGAAAAGTATGGCGGCATTTGTATTCGGCCCCCCGGAATCAATACCTGTAGGACCCCCTTTGGCTGCAATTCCAGCTGCAAGTCTTTTTGGGGATGTCTCTTTGCACATCTAGAGAGGGACATTTCTGCCCATTCTTCTTTGCAGAATCGCTCAAGCTGTCAGATTGGATGGAGAGCGTCTGGGAACAGCAATTTTCAAGTCTTGCCACAGATTCTCCATTGGATTTAGGTCTGGACTGTGACTGGGCCATTCTAACACATGAAGATGCTTTGATCAGAACCATTCCATTGTAGCTCTGGCTGGATGTTTCGGGTCGTTGTCCTGCTGGAAGGGGAACCTCCGCCCCGGTCTCAAGTCTTCTGCAGACTCTAACAGGTTTTCTTCTAAGATTGCCCTGTATTTGGCTCCATCCATCTTCCCATCAACTTTAGCCAGCTTTCCAGTCCCTGCTGAAGTGGAGCATCCCCACAACATGATTCTTTTCTATATCCACTGTAGATGTAAATGGGTCCTTACCGTACGCTTTCTTTGGAAACCCACATGGAAGAAAAATATATTTGAAATACTACAATTTTGGCCATATTCAATATATTTATATATATACACTGTATGTTAAAATGCGTTTTTATTACAAAATATATGCAGTATATTTTTAAAAATACATTTCCAAATATACTATATGTCTTTAAAAATACAAATCTACATTTTTGGAATGCATTTACAAATATAAGTAAAAATATATGTTAAAATTACTTTTTTATATGTTAAAAAAAATTAGAAGAATATATTTAACCGCTAGCCTACGGGGCACTTTCACCCCCTTCCTGTCCAGGCCAATTTCCAGCTTTCAGCGCTGTCACACTTTGAATGACAATTGCGCGGTCATGCAACACTGTACCCATATGAAATTTTTATCATTCTTTTGTGATAGATAGAGCTTTATTTTGGTGGTATTTAATCACCTCAGGGTCTTTTTATTTTTTGCTACACAAACCAAAAACAACTGAAAATTTAGAAAAAAAAAAAAAACAAAACGTTTTTTCTTAGTTTTTGTTATAAAATTTTGTAATAAGTGATTTTTCTCCTTCACTTATGTTTGCTAATGAAGCTGCAGTGATGGGCACTGATAGGCTGCACTGGTGGACACTGATAGGTGGCACTGATGGGCACTGATGAGGAGGCATTGGTAGGTGGCACTGATGGGCATTGACAGGCATCACTGATGGGCACTGAAAGGCAGTACTCATATATGGCACTGATAGGTGGCACTGACTGGCATTGATAGGCGGTACTGACTGGCACTGTTAGGCGGCACTGATGGGCAGCACTGACGGGCATTGATAGGCGGCACTGATGCACACTGATAGGCGGCATTGACTGGAACTGATAGGCGGCACTGACTGGCACTGATAGGCGGCACTGACTGGCACTAATAGGCGGCACTGACTGGCACTGATAGGTGGCACTGATTGGCAGCACTGATAGGTGGCACTGACTGGCATTGATAGGTGGCACTGCCTGGCACTGATGGGTGATGCTGAAAGGCAGCTCAGATGGGCACTGATATGTGACATTGATGTGCACTGATGGGCACTGGCAGGTGGCATTGATGAGCACTGACAGCTAGCATTGATGGACACTGACAGGTGGCACTGCTGGGGCTACAGTGATCATCAGGGCATACTGATCACCAGTGCCCTGATGATCAGTGTAGGTGTCCCATCCGAGGAATGCTGATTACCGGCTCTCCTCTCCTCTGTCAGCGTGACAGCTCGAGAGGAGAGAAATGCTGATAACTGGCATTTCCCTGTTACATGTGATCAGCTGTGATTGGACACAGTTGATCACATGACCGAGCCGACATCTTCAGCTTTTTCCGTTGACCAGTGATCCGCTGTGTACCACCGATCGCCGCGCTGCGAGTTCCCGGAACCGTGCATGCGCAGTGAGAATGGCAGGACATCATATGACGTCCTCCCAGAACAAGAGATCCACCTTGTGCCCGTCATTGTACTATATGGCGGGCGGGAGGCGGTTAAAAAACATATATTTTTAGAAATATTTTTCATATATTTTGTAATATAAAAAAAAAACGCATTTCAACATGCTGAAACTCTCCAATCAGGGAGGAGAATGAGCTTTGCTGATGGCAGAATTTTCGGTCTGACTCGGGTGTCATTCATTGCGTCCGGGCTGGTGATTACTCGCTGGCACCCGGTGATCGCCAAACGTCAAAAATATATTTTTTTTTTCTCAAGATTGTTGCTCTTTTTTTTGTTTATAGCGCAAAAAAATAAAAAACCGCAGAGGCAATCAAATACCACTGAAAGAAAGCTCCATTTATGGGAAAAAAAGGACGTAGATTTCATTTGGGTGCAGCGTTGCATGACCGCGCAATTGTCAGTTAAAGTAACACAGCTCCGTAACGCCAAAAAATGGCCTGGTCAGGAGGGGGGGGGGGGGGGGAATCCTCTGGAGGGTGAGGGGTTAATAGCACATAAGCACTTCAGCATGACTGATTAGTGTCTTCTGCTGCTTCTCCCTCTCCTAATGTGAGCTCTGCTGTACAGGGCTCACAAGAAGCCGACACCAGGTCACACTGGGTACTTACACTGCTTGCATGTAACAAAAAAAATGTTGGTGCATTTATTCGTGTCTTCTAGAACCAGTTCCTAATATCTATGTACTATAATATCTATGTACTACTATATATCTATGTACTATAATATCTATGTACTGTAATATCTATGTACTGTAATATCTATGTACTATAATATCTATGTACTGTAATACTATGTACTGTGATATCTACTGTAATATCTATGTACTATAATATCTATGTAATATCTATGTACTATCTATGTACTGTGATATCTATGTACTATAATATCTATGTACTGTGATATCTATGTACTGTAATATCTATCTATGTGATATCTATGTACTATATATCTATGTACTGTGATATCTATGTACTATAATATCTATGTACTATAATATCTATGTACTATAATATCTATGTACTATAATATCTATGTACTATAATATCTATGTACTGTAATATCTATGTACTATAATATCTATGTACTAATATCTATGTACTGTGATATCTATGTACTGTAATATCTATGTACTGTGATATCTATGTACTATATATCTATGTACTGTGATATCTATGTACTGTGATATCTATGTACTATACTATACTATGTACTGTGATATCTATGTACTGTGATATCTATGTACTATAATATCTATGTACTATAATATCTATGTACTGTAATATCTATCTATGTACTGTGATATCTATGTACTATGTATAATATCTATGTGATATCTATATAATATCTATGTACTGTATATCTATACTATATCTATGTATCTATGTGTGATATCTATGTATGTACTATAATATCTATGTACTATAATACTGTATCTATGTACTATATACTGTGATATCTATGTATCTATCTATGTACTATAATATCTATGTACTGTAATATCTATGTACTATAATATCTATGTACTATAATATCTATGTACTGTAATATCTATGTACTATATATCTATGTGTGATAATATCTATGTACTATATATCTATGTACTATGATATCTATGTACTATAATATCTATGTACTATAATATCTATGTACTATAATATCTATGTGTACTATACTATGTACTATGTATGTGTATGATATCTATGTATAATATCTATTATAATAATATCTATGTACTGTAATCTATGTATAATACTATACTATGATATCTATGTACTGTATATCTATGTACTGTGATATCTATGTACTGTAATATCTACTATAATATCTATGTACTGTCTATGTATTATAATACTGTGATATGTACTGTGATATATCTATCTACTATAATATCTATGTACTGTAATGTCTATGTCTATGTACTGTAATATCTATGTGCTGTAATATCTATGTACTATACTATCTATGTACTATAATATCTATGTACTATCTATGTATCTATGTACTGTGATATCTATGTACTGTATATCTATGTACTATATATCTATGTACTGTGATATCTATCTATAATACTATGTAATATCTATATCTATGTACTATAATATCTATGTACTGTATATCTATACTATAATATCTATGTACTGTGATATCTATGTACTATATATGTACTGTAATATCTATGTAATATCTATGTATTAATATCTATGTACTATAATATCTATGTACTATGTGATGATATCTATGTACTATAATATCTATGTACTGTAATATCTATTACTATAATATCTATGTACTATAATATCTATGTACTATAATATCTATGTACTGTGATATCTATGTACTATATATCTATGTACTATAATATCTACTATAATATATCTATGTACTATAATATCTATGTATCTATGTACTGTGTAATATCTATGTACTAATATCTAATATCTATGTACTGTGATATCTATGTACTGTGATATCTATACTATCTATGTACTATACTATCTATGTACTATAATATCTATGTACTGTGATATCTATGTACTATACTATCTATGTACTGTTATATCTATGTATCTATGTACTGTAATATCTATGTACTATAATATCTATGTACTATAATATCTGATATGTATGTGTAATATCTATGTACTGTGATATCTATGTATATCTATGTACTATAATATCTATGTACTGTGATATCTATGTACTATAATATCTATGTACTGTGATATCTATGTACTATATATCTATGTTACTTGTGACTATCTATGTGCTGTATAATATCTATGTACTGTGATATCTATGTACTATATCTATGTATGTATCTTGTTTTAATATATGTGCTGTAATATCTATGTACTGTAATCTATCTATTATCTATGTTTATAATATCTATGTGCTGTTATATCTATAATACTGTGATATCTATGTACTATAATATCTATGTACTATAATATGTACTGTATATACTGTGATATCTATGTACTGTGATATCTATGTACTATAATATCTATGTACTCTATGATATCTATGTACTATGATATCTATGTACTGTATAATATCTATGTCTATAATATCTATGTACTATGATATCTATGTACTATAATATCTATGTACTGTAATATATCTATGTACTGTGATATCTATGTACTGTGATATCTATGTACTGTGATATCTATGTACTATAATATCTATGTACTATAATATCTATGTACTATACTATCTATGTACTATAATATCTATGTATGTGATATATGTACTATAATATACTATAATATCTGTACTATACCAGTGATGGCGAACCTTTTTGAGCCCGAGTGCCCAAACTGCAACACAAAACCAACTTTTTTATTTCAAAGTGCCAACACTGCAATTAATCACTTGCCTACCGGGCACTTCTACCCCCTTCCTGTCCAGGACAATTTTCAGCTTTCAGTGCTGTTGCACTTAACAATGACAATTGTGCGGTCATGCAACACTGTAACCATATGCAATTTTTATCATTTTTTCACACAAATAGAGCTTTTTTTGGTGGTATTTAATCACCACTGGGTGTTTTATTTTTTGCACTATAAATGAAAAAAGAGCAAAAGTTTAAAAACATAAAAGGTTTCCTTTGCTTCTATTCTAAAATTTTGCAAACAGGTAATATTTCTTTTTGATGTGCATTGGTGAGGCTGCACTGATAGGCAGCACTGATGGGCATTGATGAGGCGGCACAGATAAGTAGCACTGATGAGGCGGCACTAGTGAGCATTGATGAGGAGGCACTGATGATGCACTGATATGCAGGAAATGATGGGCACTGATAAGCGGCACTGACTGATAGCACCAACTGGAGGCACTGACAGACGGCACTGACCGGTGGCACTGCTGGGCATCATTGATGGGTGGCACTGATGGGCAGCACTAATGAGGTGTCACAGATAGGTGGCACTGATATGCGGCACTGATTGGTGGCACTGATAGGCGACACTGATAATGGGTACTGATAGACAGCACTGATAGATGGCACTGACTGACATCACTGCTGGGCACTGACTGGCGGCACTGCTGGGCACTGACTGGCACAACCGCTAGGCAATGACTGGTGGCACTGACTGGCAGCACTGCTGGGCTGCACTGATGGGCACTGGTGGGTGGCACTGGTGGGCACAGGTGGGTGGCACTGGTGGGCACAGGTGGGTTGGCACAGGTGGGTGGCACTACTGGGGCACAGGTAGGTGGCACTTCTGGGCACAGGTGGGCGGCACAGTTGGGTGCATTGCTGGGCACAGGTGGGCGGAACTTGTGTGTGGCACTGCTGGGCACCGATCATCAGGGCACTGATGATCAGTGACCCTGATGATCGGTGCCGATCCCCGCTCTGACAACTGCCGGTTTCCGGCAGTACTTTCCTCACGATCTGACAGCGTGAGGAAAGTGCAGCCAAGAACCGGCATTTGCATTTCCCGGTGATCAGCGCGTCATTGGACACGGCTGATAACGTGGTAAAAGGCCGCTGTGATTGGCCTTTTACCACGTCACGTGATCAGCTGCTGTGTCCGTAGGACACAGAGATCACGGAGATCTCCCGGTGCGCGCCCCTGGGGGTGCGCAGGAGAGCGCGTTCTTCCTCTTCTTCCTGGCGTGCCCACTGAGA